ATATATATATATATATATATATATATATATATATATATATATATATATATATATAATCTGTTATAAATGTCCGCTATTTTTTTACCGGTTTAGTAAACTAGTTCCGTCTAATCATTGCCATTGCATGAAACTACGTGTAGCGGATTATTATTTTTATATTATATAGTAGACTCTGTCGATTTGGCATTGAAATCTCAGTTTATTATATATTTTAAGCTTTTAGTTTATTTTAAACTTTAGCTTTTAGTCTTACTATAATTTGATGCCTTTGCTTGTTTAGACCAGGTTGTTGTTTCTCAGTCACCATTTACTTTGTGTATTAATCAATTATGATCGACTTAAGAGCATGTTTTTCGGAGTTGCTTTTATCGTTTCCACGTTTAAATTTCTGATTAAAAAGATATATATGCGCCTGCATGTATAAAGCAAATGTATTAAACAAATATTCAATATGTTAATATACAGATATCTAATTAGGATTGTCGTTTAACATACCCGGGTATCACGACCACCCTTAATTCGTTTTTTCGAGATGGTCGGCTTTCACGATACATTAAACAGGGTTTCTGAAATCCATCAGTCCGTTAGTCTTACCGGCTTGCTCTTTCTTTGTTTCTTTATTTCTTTGTTTCTTTCTTTCTTTCTCCGAGATTCATTATTTTCTTTCTTTCTTTCTTTTTCTTTCTTTCTTTCTTTCTTTCTTTCTTTCTTTCAACGCCGATTTCAGGCGCATCAACTGGTTTTTGCAGTTGAAGCGGCAGATACAAAACAAAACCAAGCAGAAAGTCACTGGTCTAGATTTAAAGCTCTAGTAATGAGCCTCACTAGCCAGTCATCTTGGACGATAATCTTTAACTGTCGGGTGCCAGTGGACTGTGTGAGAAATGAAGACATTCCACCTGTGCTCTGCTATTTAACGTAGCGACTATGAACACATCAGAAGACATTTTATCAAACGATGGAGTGAATAGTCAAATCCAGTCGCAAAGTTTCAAACGAATATGGCGTTAAGTCAAGAAGAATGAAGAAATGAAGTTATTGCATATGGGCATTGGTTTTAAAATTGTGAATGCTTTCATCTTGTCGGATGCATGATGGGAAGGATAACTTCCCCGTATGCGTCGCCGGCTGTTGCCACTTTTTTTCTCCTGCTTGGTTTCGTTTTGTATCTGCCGCTTCAACTGCAAAAACCAGTTGATGCGCCTGAAATCGGTGTTGAGATGGATGGCGAAAGAAGGACGACTTGTGTAGGGCGAGTTTCTGAAAGAGAAAGATATAATGGAATCGATGAGGTTAGAAATAAGAGAGAGACCAAGAGATAGATAGGGAAAGAGAAAAAGAGAGAGAGAGAGAGAGAGAAATTAAAATATATTAAGAAAAACGGTCAGAGGGAGAGAAGAGAAAGAAAAGGGTCAGTTCAATTAAAGAAAGAAAGAAAGAAAGAAAGAAAGAAAGAAAGAAATAAAAAGAAATGAAAAAAATGGAGAAAGAAAGAAAGAAAGAAAGAAAGAAAGAAAGAAAGAAAGAAAATGATGAATTTCGGAGAAAGAAAGAAAGAAAGAAAGAAAGAAAGAAAGAAAAAAAGAAAGAAAGAAAGAAAGAAAATGATGAACCTCGGGGAAAGAAAGAAAGAAAGAAAGAAAGAAAGAAAGAAAGAAAGAAAGAAAGAAAGAAAGAAAGAATCTCGGAGAAAGAAAGAAAGAAAGAAAGAAAGAAAGAAAGAAAGAAAGAAAGAATCTCGGAGAAAGAAAGAAAGAAAGAAAGAAAGAAAGAAAGAAAGAAAGAATGAAAGAAAGAGGGAAATAAAAAGAGAGAGAGAGAGAAATAAAGAACTGCGAGAAATAAAGAAACTAATTAATCTTGGAGAAAGAAATAAAGTAAGAAAGAAAGAAAGAATCTCGGAGAAAGAAAGAAAGAAAGAAAAAAAGAAAGAAAGAAAGAAAGAAAGAGGGAAATAAAATGAGAGAGAGAAATAAAGAACTGCGAGAAATAAAGAAAATAATGAATCTTGGAGAAAGAAAGAAAGAAAGAAAGAAAGAAAGAAAGAAAGAAAGAATGAGCAAGCCGGTAAAACTAACACAACATTCCACGAGGCAATCGCGGATTTTACACGTATAATTACCATTTACTTCTCTGGAATAAAAATAAATCATTTTTTTTTCATTTAACAAGCTTTATCCATAAAATCAGTTGCAGGAAAATTCCAATATACAATAATGTTACTTAAATTTCAAAAAAATATACAGTGACTTAAAAAAAGTTGTTGTTTTTTTTCAGAACAATTCGCAATTATCATTTTGCATTAATTTTCTTCCAAAATGATGCTAGTGAATTCTTATTTCAATATCCATTTTTAAAATGTCATGATCTTGGGTCAAATTTTTGATGATAACATGAGGTGAATCTCTACCCAACACCACAGCACAACGATTAGTCGCCAAAAAGTCTTATCACATGAAAACATGAACTTATTGGCAACAAAATTCCCGCTCAACTTTGTATGTCATTGTTCGTAGACGTTGCGCAGGAAATTGGTTTCTAACGCAATATTTGGATTCTCAACTTATTTAATACTTATCAATTTTCGCCTTGCTTCTTCTTTGGTTGCCTTACGATCACAAAAACACATGAGTCTTATACGCTATCTCAGTCTGGCATCTTTATCAATGGTATATGGAATCAAGCATTTCTTCTTAGACTGATATTCCTTCTAGCTCGTTAAGGCTCTCAGAAGAGGATCAAGGAACGCTAATGGGAATGAATCATTTACACCAGTCTGGTTTACTTTTTCTGTCTAAATTTTTATGCAACAGGATAATCGAAGATTTTACAAATACTGGTTTTGTCCCCGGTACAACTCATAGTTCTTTTTGAACGCCAGACAATATATTAAGCAAACGTTTCTTTTGTAATGGATATTGGGAATATGGTCACTCAAGCAATTTGACATTAATCACATGTAGAATCATAAAGGTGGCATATGTGAGGAGATCGGGATTAGTGTCAAAAGGGAAATAAGGCCGTCAACAAAGGACATTGAATTCTGAGAGTCTTTCTGCTTTGAAGTTTAAATGAGACAGCTTCCTAGGCTGACGACGGATTGGTAGATGCCGAATCTCTAAGTAACAGTCTTTCTCAAAAGTGTCGCTTTGTTTCGCATCTTGTCACTAAATGGTACGCCGAACGTGCAACTGAAGTAAAGAAAATTAGGAAAATTCACAAATACATAACAGATCGACAATATATGTAACTGTAATTTCTGGGTATTATAAACCTAATGTCTTTGGCAACCATTTTTACCAGTGCTCATATTGCAATTTTTGCTGTTATCATTGCATTTCTTTACCAGAGCTCATATTGCAATTTTCGTTGTTGTTATCGTTTTTCTCTGACACTCCTTATTACTGGTTCCCATATTGTATTCATTTCTATGCTTGGTCGGCTCAGGAGATTTTTGTGGCTTAGCATATGTGCCGATTAAGTTTACGAATTTTCCAATGATGTCCCTTGTCTATGATTTCAAACTGATCCCACAGAGGGCGGTGATTTCCCTTTTCTCTCCATATGGGGTCAGCCACGAAACGTGATAAACATGGTAGTTGGGGGCAATTTGTTTGTCGAAGTGTTCATGTTGCCAGCTCGTCATGCTCGTACTGATATATTCTATCATGATATCTGCCGAGTAGCAGTTAACACTTCTGCTACTTCGTACCTCCATATTTAGGACGTCATATCCTGTCTGTTGTAAGCGAATCAAAACCAAAGTACAGGTCATATTATCTACAACGCAACAGAAATGGAATTATACACAATTGAAGACTTTTGACTTTATATTGGTCAACTGCCGAAATTAGCTACTTGACAGTGTGATTTTTATTTATATCAGTTACACTAAAAGAATGTAATATGTATTAGTTTTTCTCATACGCCATAGTTAGTAAGTTCTCTCTTCTCTGGCAATGATAATTATTGTAGCATACCTACGGACGATAATGGGTATGTCCCCTTTCACATAAATACAGTAGTAAATACTGTATGTTGGTCTGCAGCTGGGGATTCGTCTTCAGCTGTGCTGGTCAAACTTTCTGCCTCCGGGCAGAAAGGAAACCCCTGACTGGGCTATGCTGAAGGGTACAGAGTCTCGTCTCGGGAAACAGCTACCCGACCCTGTTTTATACGGTGTCTACGGGGAATTTTTGGCCAAGCCTACGGGTTCGGATATCCCACATTAAATTCGGCCTTGTGCTACATCTGACTGCGTGTGGCAGTTGGTAGATATCCTGCGTTTGGAGATTCATCTCCAGCTATACTAGTCAAACTCTCTGCCTCCGGGCAGAGAGAATCCCCAGGCGATGTTATGTCGAAGGACAGTCTCGTCTCGGGAAACAGCTACCCGACCCCGAGGTCGAGAACGAGGTAATATGTGCTGATATATTTAAGAACACCACTCGAGTTTTTAACAGAGATCGAACCAAACCACAGATTCTCAGATAGACACAATAACTCCCAAATTTCTATTCGAGGTCAAATTATCATTTAACTATCGAATGAAGATCAATCAGATTTGGCCGAAATCGGTTTCTTGCAAGTTCTTGATTTCTTAATAATGCGTACGTTACAAGACTGACCGCTACAGTTGTTTGAATAAAACTTCACTCTTCAATTGATGATTCGGATCTAATATCTTCGTCTTTTTTTCTATTCGATGCGTAAATTTCATTCGGTGGGCTTTCTAGCTTTTCATATTTTCGGCAATTCTGTTGCCGATACAGATTTTCTGACCTTTCGCCGCTTATTCTACTAATCTGTTCCTTGAAGCAAAACCAGAGCGATCTGAGATATAATCTTTTGTTAGTTCATTGTGGGCTCGTTTTCAACACTGCTGCTTACAGCCTGCGACCCTTTTCCCAGCTGTTACACCCATTAGTTGTCGCTGAACGTTGCGTTGCCGCGCCCATGTGCATGGGACGATTGTGCGTTTTGCGTGAGGATCAGGGTAGTCAATAGGGCGTAGCTGGTTTTGGATGAGAGACACGCGTCAATCGGTAAGTGGCAATTGGTTGGGTAAGTTTGGATTGGTGAGAAAAGAAGCATTTCAGAGACAGAGAGAAAAAAAGAGAGAGAGAGAGAGAGAGAGAGAGAAAGAGATCAATATTGGGTATAGAATAGATATGCATAGGCTGATGGTAGGAAGAAAGCCAGAGAAAGGGAGGGAAAAGAAACGAAAGAAAGAAAGAAAGAAAGAAAGAAAGAAAGAAACTAAAAGAGCAGGAGAACGACTTTGAAAAGATTGAAAGAAGAGAGAAGGGGGGGGGATAAAAATGGAGACAGAATAGAAGAGGAACGTGGTAACAATCTGTGTATGAAGGGTTGCAATTGGTTAGAAAAGTTCTCTGCAAAACATTGCCAACTGCGGGAATATGAGTAATAAACAGAGGCAAATAAATAAAAATGTAAGTAAACGAATAAAAAAAGAAGAGAATAAAGAATTCAGAGTGGGAAAGAGAGAAAGAAAGAAAGAAAGAAACGGGCAGAATTGTCATGCGTGCTCAAGTGTAACATTAAATGGGTGCAGATGTGAAAGAGAGCTGTCCTGCACCGAGAGTATAATCTTTGAATGTACACACACGCTCTCTCTCTCTCTCTCTCTCTCTCTCGCTCTTTCTCTTACACACAAACATACACACAGACACACACACATACATACATTCATACATACATCCATACAGTGAGAGTGGGTGGCCCTAATAGTCACAAAAATGGCATAAGACTTTAGTAACTTTACAAATCCATTGCGAATTCGTTTAATTAAAACTATCATTTATCTTTTCTTAATCTCTTGCTGCTAATGGAAAAACGACTCATTCCGAAGGCCAGGCACAAGGAGAGTCGAGCAATAAGTTTAAACTTCTTATTGTATAGGCCATTAAAATTTCTTGATGTCTGCAGTCAGTACTGAGAGATTCAGGAATATTTCGCCGAAACCTATACAAAAAAAAGCTAGTGTTATAAACTAAATCGTGTGTTTTGAGCGATAAGAAATATTTCGTTGGAATTGTCATAAGTTTTGTTTTATTTCATTGTTCATTTATTTTTATTTATTTATTTTTGTTCGTTTTTAGCTATCGATTTTCAAGTAACATAGTAAAAGTTTGTTTTAACGTCTGCATTTAGAGATGGGTTCTGATTGTTTATTTAGTAATTTGTGTTAATCTGGTAAGGTAATTACGGCTATTTTCTCCTCCACGGAGAGTTTACAGTTTTTCGATTTATTATCATAGGCTGATGCTGTTCTTATTTTTCATGATATTTTTGACGTGATTTGTTTTTTTGTTTTTAATTTCCCATATATGTTTAGAAAGCGTTGTACTGTTCAGTATTTATTATTTATAAAGGATTCAAAACTTGTGCGTAGTGTCTTTGTTTCCAAGGTCCATACGCATATTTTTCATCGCTATCTGCTGATTTCCCAGTTTTAAATATATATATATATATATATATATATATATATATATATATATATATATATATAATACACATAAATATAATACATAAATTTTTATATAATATATATATATATATATATATAACTGTTGAAACTTGACTAATGTATGGAATAATAATGCAACACAAAATGTACTTAGAACAAAATGTATTGAAACAAGAAAGTGTACACAATATTTACATATAGTCTTTTGTATATTCCTGGTAAGACCGTTCCTGGAGAATGTGTTGACTGAGTCGCAGTCGGGCAGAGTCTCTGGTTGAATCTCTTGATTTCACCCTCTCTTCCCGGTACCAACCATATTTATATGGTCGGTACTCCCTTATGCAAATTAGGTCGATCCTACCACAACAATAATACACACAGACACAGACAAAACACAGACATACAAAATATTCAATATATATATATATATATATATATATATATATAATAAGGTTGATAGTTGAATCAGACCTGAAGATTGAAACAAAATTAAGCGTTGTTAGATTAAGTGATTAAAATCATAAAATGATGATACTGTAAAGTTGAAACCAACAAAGCATATTCAACTGATTTCCTAATTTTTTAAAGTATATATATATATATATATATATATATATATATATATATTTTATTATAATATATATATATATATATATATATATATATATATATATATATATATAATTTATTGTCTACTTATTTTCAATTATGTAATTAATTACGTACAGGTTTCTTAGTATCCTTATTAAAGGAAGAAAGAAAATTACCATGTTGATGCATATTTATTTTATTCCGAGTATCTTTCGACATTAGCACAATGTCGTCATCAGTATCTTGTTTTTTCCCAGTGCAAAAAATTGTTATGCCATTATTTTTCTAAGACAAAATTGTTGTGTCCATCTGAAAATTACATTTCTTACGTGTCAAGTAAAAAGCGCTAAGGATATGTACTGTAAAGATTTTTAAATTATCATGTAGGCAGACATGCAAGCGTCAAGGGAGGTAACTATGATAAGTTATTGTAATGTCGAAATATTTTTAAAAAAGAAAAATATATTTGAAACTATTAGAACCTAAATATTTTAAAGTATCTATTGTTTAAATGTTCGTTTCAATATTTTAGATAACTTGAAGAATTTTTAGTTTATGTCTGTTATTTCCATGAAATAGTATACATGTATTTTCAGCAAGAAAATACGATATATATATATATAAGTAAACAAAACTGGTATAAATTACTTAATGAAATATGCCTTAATGAAAACATGCTGCCAAAATATACGCAATTTATATATATATATATATATATATATATATATATATATATATACCAGGAAGACATATAGAGATTCCGACCTGTAGCCAGCCACGATCATCATAATAAGGATATGTAGAAGCTTGACCGTAATTACGAGAGGATTCTATTAAAAATAATTATTTAATGAAACATGTCTTCATAAAAGAAGAAATACCAAAAATATATATCAATATATATATATATATATATATATATATATATATATATATATATATATATATATATATATATATATATCAATATATATATATATAAATAAACATTTATACAGTTACTTACTAAAAAAAAGCAAAGCATTAAAGCCAATTTTCGAAAAAATCGGTAATTAATTTATTATTATTTTTACCGTAGCATTATATTGTTATTAGACAGAATTAATTTAGAACCATTTTAATAATAAATTTTTGGGCTTTTGGTTAATGGTTTTATTCTTAATTGTTATTGTAAATATTGTATAGTGATTTTTATTTATTGATATATAAATATATATATATATATATATATATATATATATATATATATATATATATATATATATATATATATATATATATATATATATATATATATATATATATATATATATATATATATTAAGCATATACGAATGACACAGCCTGGATACATTCTTACTACAAACATATGGATGTGGATGTCGGCTTGGATTGAGGAAGAAAGAGCCAGGTTCGAATCCAGGTTGAATCCATTACATTCACTTACGTGCTATATTATTGACAAAAAAAAATGAATTCTCTTGTTCTCCCTCCAGCTATGGGTAAAATAGCCGGACAGACTGGGTTCTATAGCAATGGATGGCAACTGGGCTAGGAGAAGGACAACTCTGAATTCAAAACCCGCGGAGGGTCGTTTGGGGACCTTGTGACACTTAGTGCACCAAGTCTCTGTATTCGGCCCTTCAAAAAGTGTGGATGGTCCTGCACGAAACCTTCACCACTATAATCGAATCTCATGTGCCGGTGTCGGGCTGTCGGTTTTTTGGAAACTGATTTTGCTTGACCCTCATTTAATCGAACCCGACGGAGGATCGATTTTTTTATATATATATTTTGAAACGTCGGCTTAAGTCAGATAAAAAATGAGTTAAGTCATTTTCGAAGATACGTCGTTTTTTTAAAATATTATATGGAAAATAGGTCGTTTATGTCAATTTAAAATTCGTTTTTACTTAATTATTTTTAATTATTTTATTCAGAATACTGCACATATATATATCATAAACACTGTAATAGGCAATGAGGTGGGTGTGCTTATTGGCGATTTATAATGTGATTATTCTGACTTAAGTCGTTTTTCGACCTAAGTCGTGACCTCAGGAAACAATTAACAAAGTACGATGACATATACCCGTACTGACTTTATCGTATATGTAGTTTTAAAGTGTGGTATATTACAGGTGGGACGGTGGAGTAATGGATAGCGGCTCGGATTGCGGAGGGCCAAGTTCGAATACCATTCGAAACCATTGCAGTCACTTGCGTGCTTGGGAAAAGTGTGAATCCTCTTCTTCTCCCCCAGCTATGGGCAAATAACGGGACAGACCGGCTTCTATAGCTTTGGATGGCAACTGGTCTACCGCAGAAAGAAATAGCAGTGTTTTTTTTTTGTTGTTGTTTTTGTTTTTCTGAGAGGAATCTGTTGCTGTATTCAATGTTGGATTGTGTAGAAAAACTTCTTTTCGTAAGTCATAGTATCAACGCGCAAGCCGTTCATCTATTTTGTCCACGGAAAAATGTTTTCCCGCACACACATATATACATTTGCACACGCGTTCACACATCTTCTATCTGTCTGTTTATATATATATATATATATATATATATATATATATATATATATATATATTGATGCATGTTTCATTAAATAATATCGACAAGTTTTGTCTATTTATTTTAAGTTCCTTTCATATTGTCTGATATGCTTAATAACATTATCATTGAAAGACGAAAGGAAATCACCATATTGATACATGCTTAAATCCTATCTAAGCTTTCGGCTTACATAAGCCATTATCAAAGATGACAATTACATTTCAATATATCAAGCAATACACAGACGATACAATAATATATATATATATATATTTATATTGGATAGATGTGATATGTATGTATGTATGTATGTATGTATGTGTATTGTGTGTTTACGTATGTATTTAACGACACACATTGAAC